CAATGATGTATGTGGTGGTTACAAACTCCTAACTTAGATTGCCATAATTAAGGAAGGTTGGAGAAAAGGATATTAATATAAATCCACATTTGGGATAACCTTTCGTACCAATTACTCCTTTTTCTTACCAATAAAATTTCGATTATTATATTAGAAATATTACTTTCTATCCACACTCCCAAAATAGAATAAAATAAAAGACACAATTATCTAATAATATCAGAGACATCCTTCACGTTTATAAAATATCACTAACTTCCCATATTTCGAATTTTGAGCATCACATTCACTATGATCGCCTTTAAGTCAAATCAATGTCTTCTATTAATTGTCTCGTTTTGGATTTAATAGTAGGTTGCGGTACGTTTTGTCAAAATGGACGAGTCGTTATTTGGTTTGTACACGACTATTTTGCATGCTCATTGGATGAACTAAATATTGTAATTATTTGAAGTATGTTTTCTTTTGTGAAAATCGTAAGCATTAAAGATCTCGATAGCACCATCGCAAAAATTAAATGAAGACGAACAATCACTCGAGTATATTGCACTTGAAATAGATGTGGAAAGCAAGTTCCTTGAATATCATTGAAATTTATTTATTCACTTAAATTAATGAATAATTTCACTGGTAAAGTGAAAAAAAAAAAAAGAAGTAATATATTCAATGATATTCTTAAAAGAAAGGAATGGTAAAATTCACGAATTCATATAACTGGCTTTGACAATAGTTAGTGACGCTTTTGTGATAGAGCCAAATTATACGAATTAGATGATAAGAAGTTTTATGTATTGGTTTTAAGGACAATTTATACTTAATCACTCTTTGGATATACGATAAATACTACAATTTTTGTTGACTACATTACGTTATAGTTATAATGAAGGTCCTTAATTTTTTTTCTCGTTCCTCCAAAAATGTATTTTAATCTTACTTTAATAAGCCCGTCTTTTTTCGTGATGACGAGCAAAAATATGTTAGGATGAAGTAAAAAAATCATTTGCCCTTCGTAATTTTAAATAAGAAAGATAACAATAAATAATAAGTTCGACAAAATATTTTTCCAATGTTAACTTAATATAGAGGTGTCAATCCGGGTGGTCCGGGTCGGGTCGGCCTGCCAACATATGAGCCGGGTAACGGCCCGCGTGGAAAAAAGCCCGTCCACTTCGGGTTTCGGGCCGATTTCGGGTCGGCCCACAAATTTTGGATTACAACTCAGGCTCGCCCGCTGACCCATCCGGGTCGAGCCCATGCGGGTCACGGGTCGCGATTTGTTCCGATTTGACCCATATTATTATATAAATAAAATTATAAAAATATAAAAAATTTCATATTTATAGCAACAAATTTTTTTTTTTTAAATGTAAACTAAGAATTGAATAAAATGATAAATTCATATTTATACCAAGAAATGTTTACATAGAATTCAAATTTAATGTTACATGAATTATTTATAACTTTGTAAAGTTAAATTTAACTTACACAAATAACAACTAAATGCATTTCTAATTACTATTATCAAATATTTATAATATAAGTACATCCCAACTAGGTGGTACCTCCTCCCATTTTTTTCAAATTTTTTTAAATTTTTTTCACGGGTCAGTGGGTTAACCGCGGCCCGTGAAGGTGTAACCCGCGAAACCTGCGGGTCACACCTCCTTGACCCGTGAACCACTTGCTCGGGTCACAGGTCGGCCCGCGGTCCCGGGTCGGTCCAGGCCGATTTTCACTGGTCTGGCCGGCCCGTCCGTCTGACACCTCTAACATAATATTTGTACAAAAAAATTCTAGATATTAATGCAAAAATAAGCAAATTTTGAGGACACTTTTGCAATTAAAAGTGATGCACTTTACAAAATTGGTGGTTTGAAAATAATTAATCTTTAGGCTTAAAGGTGGTCGGTTGAAGATACTCAAAACTAGAAATATGGATTGTTTATGATATTTTTGAAATGAAAGAAATATCTCTCGTATTATTTAAAGGAGATGAAGTGTTTCTAATAATGTCAGAAAATAAAAATGTCCATAATTTATAGCAAGGTCGAACCATAATAGGATAATGTGCAGGAATGAAATTAGAATTGAATTGGATCGGACCATCATTTGACCATCCTTCCGTAGCGAGCGTGACAAGTCCCGATGGTCCAAACTCAACGATTATGAAGGATTGTAATTGTTGGGCATTATTAAAAAACAAAATAAAAAACATGTTTCGAAAAACGAAAAGGTCAAAAAAAAAGGTGAAGAGTAAAAGCTTATGCCTTTAAAGTTGATATTCAAAGTTAAGGCGTTTGGTCTTGAAATTGCTTAAAGATGTTTTTCTCTGATTTTTATTTTATTTTTTACTTTTAACTTTTATGTAAGCAAAGTTTTGTCCCTAATCGGACTAGATTAGCCTTCTATTGGACAGGGTTAGTAGGCCTATTCGAGTAGTGAGAATTGGAAATGACATGAAATCCTACTTTTCAAGATCCAAGTTCAAAAATCAGTTTATAAGTTTTAATGTTCAAAAATCAGATATTTTATATATAGATACATGTTTTTTATATTTAATTAAATTTTAATAATAATATTATAAAAATTAAATTATATACACCCCACCCTACCATAAATCCCTAATTTCTTACCCCCATTCACCTCGTTTCTGAGTTTCTCTCATCCATCTCTCTCCACACCGTCGACGTCTTCTCTCCATGTTGCCGTCGGTGATGTCTTCTCCCCTTATCCTCCCCCTCCCTAATTCAAGCTGCTATAAAAATTAATTTGAAGAAACTGCCCTAATTCGCAGCAGCGTCGCGACGCTGCCCTAATTCGCTGCCAGTGTTCATTGGTTTTTTTTGTTGTGGGCTTTGGTGATTTGTGGTAGTAGGTCGCGGTTTTGGTGGCTGCTTGGTGTTGGTGGAGGCGCCGAATCTGTGTTGGTGCATGGGTATTAAAAGGTGTATTGGTGAAACGGTTCCGACGAATCTGTTGTGCAAATCGTTGGTAGCAGTGCAAAACGTGGTACCGTACGGAGGCCCTCACTAGATCCGAGCTGTTCATCAGAAACTGGCCCTGTCACAAACTTGCTATTGGTGTGAATCTGTAACCAACAAATTTGAAAATATGTGACCAATGAAATTAACAATTTTTTTATTTGTGACCTAAAAATTATATAATCTGTGACCGTTAAAAATTTGTGACCAATTAATTTGGAAATCTGTGACCGTGTGACCTATACATTTTCATCTGTGACTAACTAATTTTGAAATCTGTAATCAACGAATTAAATGTGACCTATAAAATTTTTGAACTGTGACCATAAAATAATCTGTGACGTATAAAAATTATTATTTATGACTGAAAAATAATATGTGACTAATTAAATTATAAATCTGTGATCGGAATGATTGCCGTAATAGTCGCCGGAATGGTCATCTGAATAATTGTCGGAATGGTTACCGGAGAAGAGTGGTCGCCGGAATGGTCGTCGGAGAAGAGTGANAACAGTTGCCGGAGAAGAGTGGTGGTCGGAATGGGCGTCGGAATAGTCCCCACAGCAATAGGGGTGGTACATGTGGGGTGTGTTTATTATATTATATTATATTAGAATTAAAAAAAAAACCTGATTTTTGAATTTTTAAACTATAAACATGATTTTTGAATTGGTGCAAACTAAACACCTTATTTATAAATTTTTCCTAGTGAGAATTCGATTGATCTGGACACATTTAACGATCTTACAATCTAAGTAATGATACCTGTACTAATAAATTAATGATGCCTATAACTAAAAGAAAGTTATGCTATTGATTGAGCCCCTTTTTTTAATCAAAATGTATTATTAAACACTGATTTGATTTCATTACAATCACGCATTTTTTAATAAAATAATATTACACACAAATTCAAAATATTTCCTTATTTTTTTTCACTACACATTCTTCATCGCAACATTATTGCAACAATCATGCTTCATTTACAGGGTGTAAGTTCACGGAACCCCCACCGGCAACTCACACATAAAGGGGGTGGGTACTTTTTTTTTTACTTTCGTATTGACGTGGGTGAGATCCACCTCATGTGAGAGGTTGTACATCACACGTTCACATAATAAAGTATTATTTATGTAAATCCAAAATTTACTATTACAAAATTCATTCTTCCCAAAAAAATGGTGTCAAAGAGGGGTTACATAAATAGAAAAATACGTACTCTCAAGAACTACTAGGCTGCCATCAAATGAAATGTCCATATCAAAGATTAACATGTTTTTGAGGTCTATTTAAATACTAAAATCAACGTCAACTAACCATACCAAAAAAAAAATATCAATTTTATAGTCTTATTCTCTAAGGAATCTATATTATATATAAAATATACCAGAAAATAAATGTTAAAACATATAAAAATTTAAATACCTAGAAAAAATGAAAAAGATGAAAGGCAATTGATACAGCTTTATCTATTGCATCTCTCCCCCCCTGCACCCACCACATATTCAAGTACTGAACAAAAATCAATCAAATCACCAAAATTCCAAAAAAATATCCGTCTCTCTCTCTGACGCATCTGTTTTTTCTATATCTGTTTTAAGGAGTTTTTATTTCAATTTTGTATGTTCAAATCTGAAATTCTTCAGAATAGGTTCATAAAGCTGTGTTTCAGATCCCAATATAAGGGTTATCTTTTAAATCAGTAACAAGAAATTTTTTGCTCTATTTTACTCTAATCTTCATTTATTTTCTCTTTGAAAACAATATTCATGCACATCTCAGTGGATATATTTCAAACCAGCACAAGCCTTTTTTGGCATGTTGGGTAACAAAGTTAAAATCTTGTTCATCCAGTCCAATTCAGTATTGCGTGCTTCTCGTGCCCTTCTTGTCTAAGTGGTCCCTTTTTGGCTTCGGTTTCTTCAAAACCCATTTTTTTGTTTTAGTGCACGAACTCACTGTCCTACTTCATTATTTTCCAAAGCAAAAGACTGAAAAAGTTGTTTTGTGCTGAGAAAAATGCAAGAGCAAGGTATAAGCATGATGGGATCTGCTGGTGGAGGAATAGGAGGGTTAAGCAATGTTACTATGGCGGTTTCCGGAGAGCAGCACCACCAGCTCAAAGTGGAGATCGCCACACATCCGCTATACGAACAGCTGCTTTCGGCGCATGTTGCCTGCCTCCGTGTGGCCACGCCCATAGATCACCTGCCCCTTATTGATGCTCAGCTTTCACAGTCTCATAATCTCATGAACTCTTATGCTCAGCAGAATACTAATCCTTTCTCCCCGCATCATAGGCAAGAGCTTGACAATTTCTTGGTAGGTTTTCTTTCTTGGAAATTCGAATCCCATGTTCGGTAAATTATATTAAACTGAAAAGTAGGATTCTGAAAGATGAACCGGATATAGACAGTTGCTATGTATAAGTTTTTAAATTTGTGGACAACTTCTTGGTAGATTTGCTTTCTTAAAAGTCCTTTCAACAAATTGTGTGTTTGTAAGTAGATTAACATTTAAGGTTTTGAAGGTTGAACTGGAGTTGCAATAAGGTACGCAAAAAACTTAATAAGAGCTTGTTTGGTAGAGATTAAAATTGAAAAACTAGTCGTTATTTTTTACTTTTATTAGAGGGGTGAGATTCAATAAAGCTATATTTTTAATTTTAATTGGATTAAAATCCCTCCCAAACAAACTCAAAACAAGATTTTAACTTTTTCCTATATAACCTACCAAACAAATAGGTTGTTTATGAGTTTATTTTTTGTGGGTTTATGTGATTAATTTGAATTTGTTTGTGGTCCTATGACCGCTTATGAATGAAACAGACACAGTACTTGTTAGTTTTGTGTTCATTGAGAGAACAGCTACAGCAACATGTCAGAGTCCATGCTGTTGATGCTGTCATGGCCTGCCGTGAAATTGAGCACAATTTACAAGCCCTAACTGGTAATTTACTACAACTTCCCTTCTCTTTCTCAGTCTCTTGTAATAATAAATTAACAATTTGTTTGGTAAAAGTTTGATAAATCTTTATTAATATTTCGATTGATCAAACTTTAATTTTATATTCTATGTGGTCTATAATTTTTATCAACTTTTATCGGAACTTGCAATCAAAAGTTTCGTCAAATTACCCTAAATTATATCGTGGTAAATTTATAGTAAGCAACAATAATGTTATCTACTACTCTTTATGATTTATATTTGGCCCATGTTTGGTGGGGATTAAAATCACTTTTGTAGTAAATTTTGATAAAAAGTTGATGAAATGTGTGATTAAAATTAATTATTGACTTTTAACTTAAATTAAAATATAGATTTTAATCTGAACCAAACTTGATCTTAAATTTATAAGAAGTGATAAAGCAATTAGATTAAAAACCTTAAACATGAAAACACGATATGTTACTTTTAGTCTTGTCTTCTTTCTTTTGACGTAATAAATTATAGTTTTCTTACGTTGCGAGTGCGTGCACACATCCAATATATAGTAGAAATATATATAAATCATCTAATTTTATAAGCTTTATATTTGAAATGACCATAGCTTTTGATATTATTTGTGATTAATCCAATATTTCATCGACACGTAATTTTACTTTAGAAATATGAAGTATCAATTGAATAAACTATCTGATTTGACGATACTTTAGGATTTTCTTGGATGATTTGATTGGTTTGGTAGGCTGGAGGATAAGAAAACAACTTGGGGTTTTTTTTGTAAGGTTCTGTGAGAGTACAACAAGAGGTGGGTAGAGTGGGACATTTTTATTACAAACTTATTAGTTTATATGGTTAGGAGGGTTTAGTTGACTGTTGGAAGCAACGTTGTGGGACAACAACTCAACTACAATAACAACTGACAGCTGCATTGGAATATCAACAAACATAGTGTCTCAAGTTTGAATGTTACACTTACAATTTATCTATAATGGAAAAAAAATTGGTTGGTTCGGAGAAATTAGCCCGTCTGACAACCATTAAAAATAAGTTGTTTTGGGGGGGGGAAATGAATTTTCGAATAGTAATTTTTCTGAGAATGTTAAATTAAAAAGTAGGAAAAATTAAGAAGCATCACTTAACTTTGTATCGTTCGCTATCTCGTAAAAGGACATTTAAGTAGACAATTGATGTATCAGACTCGATCCCATTTTTTTGTAGCATGCATCACTGCTATCTGTATTGCATTTGATTAATTTGGTAGTGCTGGTGGTAAACTTAACAAGAAGATCAATTTTTTACTTCACGTTATTACCAGAAAATCGTGTTTCGAGGGTGCAATCAATTAAGTTATAATATAATTCATCAATATGTTATTCGTTTCTTGATGAGGGATCGATCTATATGAAAGATAGATTGTTGCATATTGAAAAATATTATCAAAAATAGTTGAACTTTGCATGTCTTGATTATTTTCAAAAGAATTAGTTATTTTGTATTTTGTGACAATCCTCATTTTCCCACCACAGGGGCAACACTTGGGGAAGGATCTGGTGCAACTATGTCTGATGATGAGGATGAGCTGCAGATGGAGTTCTCATTGGATCAATCTGGAGTTGATGCTAGTGATCTGATGGGATTTGGTCCATTGCTTCCAACGGAATCAGAGAGGTCTCTGATGGAGAGAGTAAGGCAGGAATTAAAAGTAGAGCTTAAACAGGTGAATTTCGATAATTGTCAATTTGAGACGGAAGTAATTGAATGTATTATACAATTTCTATAAATGTTCTTTTGGGAATGGCTTAGAAGAAGTCTATATTTATGGGGTTACCATTATCTAGAAAGAGAAAGATTTTAGAATACTTATGATTAGGGAAACAATATATCCTATCAATTGAATTATCATTTCAAGAAATACGAGATCTCTCTAAATCATAGAAGTGAAGAGATCAAAGAAAGAACGTGAATGTATTTATCCGGATTAGAAAATAAAAATAAAAAAAAATTCTACGAGGGATTCATGTCTTTCTACTTGATTGTGGATCCCTTTATTAGTTCTCATTTGTGATGCACAAGTCCCTAGAACCTAGATGTCGGTTATGATCAATTTAAAAGAAAGAAAGAAATAGCGTGTGTATTTCATTTGAAATTTTTCTCGAAAAACACAAGATTTTAAGAGAGAAATAGTATTTTATTATTTGTTTGAATTTTCTTAAAAAAACAAGAATATACTATTTGATCTAGTTGGCAATTACATATTTGCGTTTGGTATGATATAAGATATGCCCTTTTCAGGGATTTAAGTCAAGAATTGAAGATGTGAGGGAAGAAATACTAAGAAAGAGAAGGGCAGGAAAATTACCAGGTGACACTACTACAGTGCTCAAGAATTGGTGGCAGCAACACTCCAAGTGGCCGTATCCCACTGTAAGTTCCTAAACTATATGTACGTAGTCGATCTTAAATTTATCAAGAATAATGTTTAAACTTGCAATATCATATTTAGATTTTAACATTTTACAGGTAAAATTAAGAAAAAAAGTAACAGATTGTTTGTAAAAAAAGTTACTTTTTAAGCTTAGCGAGATGTGATCCATGTGAAACAGAAATATGTTGTAAACAACTTGTTGGAGAATGGTTATATGTTTTCATTAGTGTGTTGTCACCAAGTTTATTAAATTGCAAGTTAAAAACCATAAGTAGAGCTTTGTTGCTGTAAAAAGAGTAGGAATGAACGAAAGTGCTCAAGTTTTTAGATCAGTTGACTCAAAATGGCATAGTTCAAATCTAGTTGCTACAATTGCACATATCATATTTTATTGAAAAAAAAATGAAGCTAACTTGTATATGCAAGGGCGTGTTGAGTTGTCCTCTTTATAATAGGCTGACAGTTTTAGTTTTTAGACGTGGTGGCTAAACTATAAAATAAGCATAAGAATTTTATGTTTGTTGCAGGAAGATGACAAGGCAAAGCTTGTAGAGCAGACAGGATTGCAGCTGAAACAAATAAACAATTGGTTCATAAACCAAAGGAAGAGGAACTGGCACAGCAATTCACAATCTGTGACATCCTTAAAGTCCAAGCGCAAGAGATAGACAAAAACATCCTATATTTTCAACATATTAATCATGGGATACTGCACTGTGAAAATTAAGAAACAAAGGCAACTTACTACTTAGTTCATTTGTAGTTTGATCGAGTTAGGATGTAATATAGAGAACAATATGTTTGTAGATTGCTAACAGATGGGATTCTTCTGTTTTCTGTATTGAAATGCTAAGTTCAAACTGAAATCTATTTACAAGGTATCTGTAATGATTTCCCTTATCAAGTAGAGCCTATATAGTGTTATGAACCAACCCAAATACCAAAATCGCTCTGATACCACTTGTTGAGAATCCAGCCAAATAATTAAAGACTAGAATAGTATGAGCAATATGAAAAGCAATAGATCACACAACAACCAAGATTTTTGTGGAAGATGAGAATTTATTATATCAAGAAACTAAATTGTTTTTACAAGATTTGATTCTATTAATCTAAATCTAAACAATTCTCTGAAATTTATAATGTGTACAATAATGATCTAATTGTTATCTTCTATATCTCTTGACTCTATACCTTGTGAAGTATTTATATGAGCCAAATCTTGAAATTATGGATGAAGTAAAACCTAAAATCGCGTAAGAAACCAAATCAGGGTAGAACTCTTCCCGAACAGCCGGTGCTGAGGCACCGGCCAATTTGTTTCTTTTTCTCGCTATCGGCGTCATGGCGCTACGTCCCAACGCCCCCAGTTATGTCTCAATGCTTCCAATACACTTTTTCAATCATTTCAAAGTCCTCATCCGAATCAAACTCTCAATCTATGATGAAATTTGATTATTTATCAAACCAGACTTCTAAATCAAAATTATTTAGGCTTCATCCATGAATCAAACTTCCAATTCACATGAAATTTGAGTCACAAAACATAAACATGTAGTATATGCTTTTGTTATAGCATGATAAGGGGTGTAAAGTGGATTGAACAGTACAGACCGCATTAAGCCACGGTAATGAGGTCAGTGGAAATGCTCGAAATTGAGAGGGCAAATACCTTCTTTTCAAGACAGAAAGAGAGGAGTTCCACTTAACCATAAGAAAGAGAGAACTCTTAGGGCACGAACGGTCTACGACTGTAGACCAATTGAGTTGTGCTCATGTTGGCCAAATATTATAGCCTTTATGGATTTATAGTGGACCATCAAGATTAAGGTCAAGAAATGGTAGATTAAAGAAGTTGATTGAGAGAAATATTGGAAGGGATTAGAAAAGTAAATGAGTACGTACATGATTGACAGCATTAATTGTAGCACCCCGAAAATTTTAGAATAAAATTATGGTTCTATATATTATATTTTATGATTTTAAAAGTTGAGGGACTAAAATAAAGTTTTAAATTCTTATGTTTTAAATGGGCCAAATATTTAACTTTTGATAGAGTGATGAAAATATATCAATATTGTACTTGTTGGATAGCTTGTATTTAATCATGCATTTTGGGCTCGAGAAAATGTAAGTTTGAATAAGTTAAGTCCAATTTATTTCAATTCAAAGAAACATATTTAATATGTGACTTTTATTACTTTTTAAGATAATTAGCAAATGATTATATTAAGTTAATTGAGTTTATCTCTTCCAACTGCACTATAGCACCGTGCACGTGTATTATTGAATGAAATTTTGCAAGTATTGTATTATACCAACTTCTAATATACGTGTCATACTATAATTGTTTTATTTAAAAATTCATTCTCATCAAATTAGATAAATATGATTTATATCACAATTCTACTATAACTCAACTACTGTTTTTCCCCTATAAATAGTGTGTCCATGCTTCACAATTCACCACACGGAATTTTACACAGTAACTTTCATATAGAAAGCAGCTGTATATTCTAAGTACATTTTTATTACTCAAAGCTCGTTTGATCTTTCAAGATAAGATTTTTTTGTGCAAGTTGTTGTTTCCTTATACTTTTATGTTCAGTAATTTATGCATGAATTGTCATGAGTCTTCGGGTTCTTTAGAAAGAGATAAGAGATCTTTCAGAAATCTAAGATGACCTAGATGGGTGTTTCGCTTGGTCACCGAGACACTCCATAACAGAAGAGTTGTATGAAGTGTTATTTTATTGCATATAATTGTTGTTTAGAAACTGCACGTATCTTACTAGGTGTTTTCAAAATACTCACTCTTATAATTTTTACAGACTAGTTCGGGTCGATTGGAGATGTAGCGGGATGGTGCAGCGAACTGCCAAAAGATTTCGATCGACGGGAATATTAAGTTTTACTACTTTTTAAATTTATTAATTTGTTTGAGAATGTTTAAATTAATTTCAAACATCAATTTATGATTCGAATTTAAATTTATAAATGTTTTGTTTATTTAGAAAATAGAATTTTAACGTTCCGCATATTAAGTATATGAAATTATGTTTGGTAACATCTAAAGATGTATGAAATTTTGGAACGTTACATTAATTGTGACAAGGAGTACGCAAGGAAATAAGGAAAAAAAAAATGGCGTTTAGTGTGGATACTTTTCAATATACGTGCACAATGACAATAGAGATTTCGTACGAGTTTAAAAGATATTTTGCAAGAACATTACGTTGAGAATTTTTTTTTCATTTCACACTACTTTAGTCACTATACGTCTCACTAAAAGCCATACTTCTTTACTTGTCTCGAGGGTCTTTGATAGTGCCATTGTTCTCTTGTGGAAACCTTATCAAAAGATTGTTGAATTTTTCAAAGCCCTTGTATTACGTTTTAAATCCATTATGATTGATAATTGAAGACCAAGTATTTTAGAAATTATTTTGATTAAACTTCCTATTTCAAAGATATTATAAAATAATTGGAAATTAACGTAACCATTAATATTTCAAGAAATAATATAAAAATAAAAATATAATGACCTACTAAAAATAAGAAATGATGGTCAGACATGTATTTGTCGGATTATTATTATTATTTTTTGTGAAAATTACCCAATTCCCTACTTTTGGAGATTCAAATTCCAAAATCAGATTTTAAGGTTTAAGTTTCAAAAATCAGATATTTTATATATAGATATAGGTTTTTTATATTTAATTAATGTTAATAATAATATTATAAAAATTAATTTATAAAATAACTAAATATTTATAAATTAAATGTAACCACCAAAACGCATCACTCTCCTCTCGCTCTCTTCGTCCGATTTCGCCCGCCGTCGCCGCCCGTCTTCGCCCGCCGTCCCGTCGTCGCCCATGGCCGCCCCCTTCCCTCCCCTCCCCTACCCTAGCTGCTGGCAGCGAAATCGCTGCCGGAAAAGCAGCGATTTCGCTGCCTGGAGCAGCTTCCCAGCAGCGAAATCGCTGCTGGGATTTCGCTGCTCCAGGCAGCGATTTCAATTTTTGAGCAGCGATTTCAATTTTTATTTTTTTGGAAGAATGGGTTCCTGATTTGTGCTATGCGGTGGTGGTTTTTTGGTTTTTGATTTGTATTGTGCGGTGGCGGTGGTGGTCGTGGTAGTGGGTGATGGTGAAATGGGGTGGTGGTGGTGATGGGTTTTTCAATTTGTATTTTTGTGGTTGCTACTAGTTCCCTTTTTTAAGTTTTCAAGTTTGTTTTATCTGATGGTTGTGGTGGTTGCTTGTCTGATTTTTGCTATTGTTGCAGATCTGTGGGGGTTTCTCCCGAACGGTGTTGTTGGAGTGGTAGTGCTGGTTTCCATATTTTGGTGGTGTTGGGGATTTAGGTTGATTTTTGTTGATGGTGTAGGTGGAGTTGCTGGTGGTGGCATTGGCGGTGAGGGTTGGTGATGATAGTGGTGGTCATGGCGGTGGTGCGTTTGGTTGTAAGTGGGATGCGCATGGGATGGGGGTTGTGACCGTTTGTGGTCGATTGTGACCTGTGACCTTGGCTGTGACCTGGACTGTGACTTGTGACCTGGACTGTGACCTGGACTGTGACTTGTGACCTGGACTGTGACCTTACAAAAAATTCATGTCATCGGAATAGTCGTCGGAATCGGAGCAGTCGCCGGAACAGTCACCGGAATCGGAGTGATCGCCGGAGAAGTCGTCGGAATCGGAGACGTCGCCGGAGTGGTCGCCGGAGCAGTCGCCGGCGTGGTGGGGTGGTGGTGGTGGGGGTGGGTTAATTTTAAAAATATATAATATATATTTATTTATTTATTTATATCTTTTTATATATTTAAATAAATAAATAAATATTTATAAATGTGTGTATATATAGGTCAAAAAATCTGATTTTTGAAATGTAAAAGTTGTTTTGTTATTTTTGAAATAGGGTAAAGATAAAGTAGGGAAAGTGAATTTTTTCCTTTTTTTTTAAAATTCAAATAATAATTTTAACTTCGAATAAGGACCAATATAAAATTATGACGGTATGTTTAACAAAAAGTTTTAAGGGTCAAAATGAATCTTACCCCAAGCATTGACTTGTTTAATGTCTAATATGTCCTTGCATTGACATCAACTGGAATGATTTGTATCATAAACTATATAAAACATGTTTGTATATTGGAATCAAGGAGAACGCATTTTTCTTAGGGAAAAATTCATAATTCAGATGTATGATTTACATCAATTCAAAAGATAGGTATATAGTTTAAAAATTCAAAACTCAGATATTAGGTAATTAATTAAAAATATTTATTAATTAAATATAATTAAGTCACAATTATATAATTAATGATCACAGTTTTATTCGTAGATCACAAATTTTCAAATTAATTGGTCACAATTTATTCGTCGATCACAGATTTCAAAATTAATTGGTCATAAATTATTTAATGGTCACAGATCAAAAAAAATTGTAGGTAACGTGATCACATGTTTCCAAATTAGTTGGTCACATATTCTTTCACGGTCACAGATTATATAATTTTTAAGTCATAGATCACAAAATGGTTGGTCACAAACCAACACCTCGTTTCCACCTCCGATCCTGATCCACCTCCAGTACTAACAGAAACACACCGCTACAGACACCACCGCCACCACAACCATCTCCCCAAATTTTCAACGCACAA